AGTTTCGACCGGAAGAGGTGCGCTCTCGACCCGCGGATCATAAAACAATTTCTGTTTGGGGACCTTGACCCCGCCGATCTGCGTGAGGGGTGCCACCGAATGTCAGAAATGTGGCAAATCCCTTGTGTTTTTGGACCCTGACCCCGCCGATTTGCGTGAGGGGTGCCAGCGAATTTCAAAAATGTCGCAAATCCCGTGTGTTTTTGGACCCTGACCCTGCCGACCTGCGTGAGGGGTGCCACTGAATTACAAACGTGTGGCAAATCTCATGTGGTTTTGGACCCTGGCCCCGCCGATCTGCATGAGGGGCGCCACCGAATGTCAGACATGTGGCAAATTGCATGTGTTTTTGGACCCCGACCCCGCCGATTTGCGTGAGGGGTGTCACCGAATGTTATAAATGTGGCAAATCCCGTGTGTTTTTTGGACCGTGACCCCGCAGATCTACGTGAGGGGTGCCACCGTCCCGTTTGTTTTTGGACCCTGATTCCGCCGACCTGCGTGAGGGGTGTCGCCGAATGTCATAAATCTTGCAAGTCCCGTGTGTGCTTGGGCCCTGACCTCGCCGATTTGCGTGAGGGGTGCCACCGGAACTTAGAAATATGCAAATCCCCTATGTCTTTGGACGCTGACCCCGCCGATCTGCGTGAGGGGTGCCACCGGATTTCAGAAATGTGGCAAATCCCGTGTGTGTTTTGACCCTGACCCTGCGGATCTGCGTGAGGGGTGCCACCGGATTTCAAACATGTGGAACATCTCATGTGTTTTTGGAGCCTGACCCCGCCGATCTGCGTGAGGGGTGTCAATTTTTACCCGCGCCAGGAATCCAGACAATACGATTTGGGCGTGGTAAAAATGCCCGTTTTGGGCCTCACCCCTCGCGCGGTCCATCAACAAGGAACAGTAAGCAGCAACAAATCAATAAGGAACAGTAAGCAGCAAGGAGCATAATTGTAACAGTGGAAACTAGAAGCTGCAACTGGCACAGGGAACTGCGAACCTCAGTCCTAGAGCCTGGTGGCCCTACAAGGGGGCCAGCGGACACAACCATGATAATCCGATGGTCATCCTTCCGACAGATCGCATCGCATTTCCGAGCTCCAATGGGGCCTGGGGGTATTTCAACAACTTGTTGTTGGTTTGAATCGAGGGGGTGGCAGTGACTTGGGTTAGCGGTCTGTAGATTGGGCGAGGTGGCAAATATCATCCAAGAGCAGCAACGACCCCATTCCCGAAGGGAAAAAATGGGGTTGGACAAGGAACCGCGATTGACCATCTCCTGCCCAGCAGACGGGTGGGTTTTTGAGTCAGGAGACCCCATGCGAGAAGTTGTCTGGGTCGGTTTCGGCGAAGCCATCATTTTGGGCCCTGAGATGCCGCCTGTGAGGCGGCCCTGCCGGTCTCGAGACATCCCTGCAGTTATGGGCTTCGAGTTGCCGCGCGAGAGATAGTCCAGCCCATTTCGTTTCGGCTTCTTCGCCGCTGTCATGAGGCGGTCCAGCTTTTTTGGCTTGAAACATCCTCGCAGAGCAATCTTCGCCCGGTGCATCCTCGTTATTCTGGATTAATCGATGCTCTTTCCGCACGGTGTCAGATCCCGTTTCCTCGCTCCTTCGGGCTCGCAGTTGCCGTGGACTGTTCGTTTCGCTTGAGATCTCATTGCCACTCCGGGTTTATGTACGTCTTATGTCCTCACCTCACGTGGTCGGGGTCTTTTTCGCCTGAGACATCGTCGGGATTGTGTTTTCGGGGATGCCCAGACCTGAGGTGGTTCAACCAATTTCGCCCGAGAGCTCCCATTTCTGGGCTCAGAGATGTCCTGTCAATTTGTCACTTTTCAGTGGACGCTCGGGGAGACTGGAACCCTCCTTGTTGCCAGTGGCAAATCTGTCAATCGGGGCCACTTGTCAAATGGGCGAGGGTAATTAGCTGGGCATTGCATGAGGCGGGTTGCCCGTCGATTTCGCACACTAGTCACCCAAAGGGGTGGGCGGACTTCCTTGTCCTTGCCATAGATGCTGTGTGGCACTTCGTCGGAGGGTAGGCCCGACGTTGCCCCATCAGCGACACCACTGCTGCTACTGCACCTCGCCTTGTCTTTGCGCACAAGAGAAGTGATATCACATCGCCTTCAAGGCTGGCTGGTTCGAACGTCATGGGGCGTCGCGCGAAGTTCGCGGGAGGGGTCAGTGATATGCCAGCACCAAGTTTGGCCAGGCCTTCTTCGCCAGTTGCCTCGATGGCTGTTTTTTTTTTGTTTCTTTTTTTTTTCTTTTTTTTTTTTTTTTTTTTTTTTTTTTTTTTTTTTTTTTTTTTTTTTTTTTTTCTTTTATTTTTCTTTTTTTTTTTTTATGTTTTTTTTTTTTGTTTTTGTTTTTTTTTATTTTTCTCTCTTTTTTTTTTGTTTTTCAGCAGACTGCCAATGGTTCTTTGTTTTATTTTTTTTTTATATTTGCTCCTCCTGAGAGGCTTGGCCAACTTAGGAGCTTTGATTCCTGGCCGATCCGACTCTTGGGTTCCAGTTTTGGAGAGCTGGCGCAGCGCGCCCCTGAAAAAGTGCTGACGCTCTGACGCTTTTGACGCTCCTGACGCTCTTGACGCTCTGGCGCTCCTGACGCTCCTGACGCTCCAGGCGTCAGAGCGTCAGGAGCGTCAGGGGCGTCAGGGGCGTCAGGGGCGTCAGGATCGTCAGAGTGTCAAGAGCGTCAGGAGCGTCAAGAGCGTCAGGGGCGTCAGGAGCGTCAGGGAGCGTCAGGGAGCGTCAGGGAGCGGTCGGGGCGCCGGGGGGCGTCAGGAGCGTCAGGAGCATCAGAGCGTCAGGAGCGTCAGGAGCGTCAGGAGCGTCAGGAGCGTCAGGAGCGTCAGGAGCGTCAGAGCGTCAGGAGCGTCAGGGGCGTCAGGGGCGTCCACCACTCCGGCGCCGCCGCTCGAGAGATCCTCACATTCCCGGCGCCGCCGTTCGAGACATCCTCACATTTCTGGCGCCGCCGCTCGAGACATCCTCACAACTCTGGCGCCGCCGCTCGAAACATCCTCACAACTTCGGCGCCGCCGCTCGAGACATCCTCACAACTCCAGCGCCGCCGCTCGAGCGTCAGGAGCGTCAGGGCGTCAAGAGCGTCAGGAGCGTCAGGGAGCATCAGGGAGCGTGAGGGGAGCGTCGGGGAGCGTCAGGGAGCGTGAGGGAGCGTCGGGGACGCCGGGAGCGTCGGGAATGTCAGGAGCGTCAGAGCGTCAGGAGCGTCAGGGGCGTCAGGAGCGTCAGGAGCGTCAGGAGCGTCAGAGCGTCAGGAGCGTCAAGAGCGTCAGGAGCGTCAGGGGCGTCCACAACTCCGGCGCCGCCGCTCGAGAAATCCTCACAGCTCCAGCGCCGCCGTTCGAGACATCCTCACAACTCCGGCGCCGCCGCTCGAAACGTCCTCACAACTCCGGCGCCACCGCTGGAGAGGGATGGGGGGATGGAGGGAGCTGGATGGAAGGAGTGAGGAGGAGGAGGAGGAGGAGGAGGAGGAGGAGGAGGAGGAGGAGGAGGGGGATTGGGGAGGAGGACTAAGGGTAAGAAGCGGATGGGGACACTTTTAGCCCAAACTCTCGATCGAAACATTTGGCAAGTTAATTGTGACGCGACTTGTATCAGAGCAGGCGTGGGATGTCTTGTATAGGCCGAAGTATCAGCCATCCGACTACTCTGCATTCAAGAGCACCCACGCTTCTTTCTTTCTCTTTCTTTCTTCTTTCGGGGGCCCTTTTCTCTCCGTCGCCATTCGGTGGATTCGCCTTTACTTTACACCTCATAGTTTCACCACGGTGGACATAGTTTACACCACGGTGGGCGCGGCCCTTGGCGGCCAATATCCGGTCCTATTGGCCGACATCGGGTGCTATTTGCTGCTGTCGGCTGCCGGCGGCTACGCTCGGCTGCTATACGAGACTGCAGGCTCACATCAGAACTACCCGAGTGTTAAGACCAGGGTGAAGAGGGGGAAGAAATAAGGAGCATCCTCATCTATCCTCCACTTCACCCTCCGGTTTTTCTGACCACGCCATTCCCTATCCCGTTACTCATTCGTCTCATGCTGCTCTACGTGTTCCACCTAGCCCTCCTCGTCCTTTCCCCTGCTGCTTTTCATCATCGCCCTTTTTCGGATATTCCTCCTCGTGCTGCTCCTCGTCCTCACCTCCTCGGTATAATGCTCTTCGTTCTTCCCTCCTCTTGCTTCTCATGCTGTCTGCCGCATCTCTTCACCCCATATAGTTTTACTCGTGCTGCTCTTCTCCCTTTGTCTCCTACTTGTCCTCCTCTCCGAAGCGGTGGCTCAAGATGACACGCTCTCGGTGCGAGGGCGCTGCAGATTGTCCGCGTTACACCACGTGCCGTGCCGAGGACGGAGGCCCCGCGTGTTCAGAGCACGGCGGGGTGTCAAGAGGGGGCCGATGGGACCGCCAGGCTGAGGCCCCAGCGTCTGCCCCCTCGCGAGCGTCTCCACCAGAACCAGCAAGTCCGCCAGCGAGCGTGGAAGCCACGTCGGATTCGGATTGTTCCGATGTTGACAGCGAGCAAGACCAGGAACACGATGATGACACCCGGGAGCCTACGTCATGGACGCGCATATCCTACCAAGGAGACGACAGTGATAAGTATTTGGTAGGAGCGAAGTGCTGTCCGAAGACTTTAGCAGCGCTTCTGACCAGATCTCTGTCCGCATGGGTTTCACCAGCAAGACTTTGTTCCGCGCGTTCTTTTATTTCCACTGCCTGTTAGCCGTGGTCCAGCCGGACGCGTTGGTCCGAAAAGAAGCCTGGGATCGCGTGAAGTCTGGGCAAGAGCGCGCCCCGTCGCTGCGTCGAGCTATTGCGTCGCACGCGCCCTTTGTAAGCAGGCAGCCTCGCCTGGACGCGGCGCTCAGGTCGCGCGCGTGATTTCCGGTCAGCATCTATCGACGCATTTTCCGTTCGGCGCTGGCGACTGAGGCTCGCTTGGCTTCGTTGCCGGTGCGCAGTATCGCATGCTTCGATGCACGGGAGCCGCCAAGTTCGTCGAGGATACGGCGATGCGGGATCCCGGCGCTGCTCTTCGGCATCTCTGCGACGGCGTCGCACTAGACACGAGCGAGGCGGTTGCTGATTTTATCCGCGCATCTGTCCTCAGCAAGCCGCATATGATGTCGTCTGTCACTGGGTGGTTCGTTCGACGGGCGCGACGGCAAGCGGCGCGCGTGCCCGCGCAGCGTCGGTGTTCCGATTGTTTGCAGTTTCCGGATCATGGGCCACCTGTTGCACGCTCTGCCGAGATGGACAATTTCCTGCCTCGCCATCGCGGGCCGGCTGAGCAGTTTAATCAGAGTCGCGAAGATGGCGCGGCAGCAGGTGTGCGCCGCGTAGTTTTTTGCAGAGGATCGGGGTCGGCGCAGGCTTCGCCGTGAAAGGATTAGGTCCGATGCGCGCAGGAAGGGCGTCTTATTTGCACGCTTGAAAAGACGGAATTAAGATCATCAGGCGCGCGCCGCTTTTTTTTTTCGGCGGGCCCTGAGCCGCGCAGGTTCTCATCGTGAACGGTTAAAAGGTTCAGGGGCGGATGAATTGCACGGGGTCGTCAAGGTTGAAGGCGTGAGAAGGCGATGTTGAGAGCGGCACTTGTGCGCTGCTTGTTGTTGTAGTGGCGGATCCTGAGCGGCGCGGGCTTCCGTCGCGAAGCTGTCAAATCGGGGGTGCGTTGAACGCATTTTACTGGCATAGGATCGCGCATGTTGACGACTTGAGAAGGCGATGTCAGGATCACGGAGCCTGCGCAGCGCGTGCTTGGAAGATAAGAAAAGGTTGGGCACGCCGCGGCAATGCATGGACTGCCGTAGGTGGAAGTGCCAGGAGGCTTTCCGCGCATCACAGCACCACTCGTCGAAGTTGACGACGCGGCGCTGCGTGGACTGCCCCGAGAGACGGAGTTGCCGCGCGTGCGAGGTTCGAAAGTACGAAGAGGCGTTCGCGCACTGTCAGTGGGAGCCGGCAGGGAACAGCCGGTGCAAAGGGGGGATGTGCGAAGAGTGCGAAGAGCTGAAGTAGCACCTAACGTGCTCCCGCTGCGGCAAGGAGAAGTTGGTGGACGAATTTGCGAGGACGGAGAGGAACAGCGACGAGCGCAAGTGCAAAGCGCGTGAGAAGTTGGGGAGAGGAGGAGAGGCAGCGCGCCGAGGAAGACAGACGGGTGGCAATGCTCAAAGTGTGGAGGATCGAAAAGGAGGGCAGAGTTTTCCGCCTACATGCTGAGCCACGCCTCCACAGCGTCGATGGCGTGCACCCAGTGCGTCGACGCAGCAGCGGCAGACCAGGGCAGGGCGTCGCGGAAAGACGTGAGGTTCTGCATTGCGTGCGAGGTTGCGCAGGGCCGAGATTGTTTTTTTCGGATCGAGTGTGGGAGAAAGGGATTGCTCAGAACCGGAAGTGCACGTGCTGTATCGAGGCGTCAGCTGTGAGCTCGAAGATTTGCGCTGTGTGCGAAGTGGCGCAGGGGCGCGATTCGCTCGCGGACCGCGCGCGGGCAAGCGCAGCTGATCGAGGCCGCAAATGCGAGCGTTGCTTCGAGGGGGCCAAGATACAGCGGCGATGTTGGGGGCGCGTTGCCTGCAAGGGCGCGTTGCCGAAGGTGGAATTCAGCCGGCGGCTGGCCGAGCGGGCTTCGAAGAAGCCCAATAGGAAGCAAAGGTGCAACGAGTGTTTCGTTCACGCAGCGCGGAGGAGGGAGGAAGTCGCCGAGAGGAGACAGGAGTCGGTGACGAAGAAACAGAAGTCCAGGTAGCTGTCGCGCGCGGGGTGGGAAAAGGCGCATGCTCCGGCGGCTTCGGTCAATAATCTCTAGGGGGGCGGAACGGACGGGTGGGGGCGCCGTGGTTGGGGGCCCCAAGAAGAGAGCTGCCGCGGGGCGGGGGTGTCGGGGAGCAGTGGAGGAGGAGGGGTGGAGTTGTGGGGCGGGGGGGAGGGGGGGGGGGGTGGCGCTGTTGTCAGGCCAAGGCGAGGCAAGCGTGGGCGGCCGGGGGTCCGAAGAAAGAAGCTGCCGTGGTCATGCCTGCGAGGGTGGGGGGCCCCAAGAACAGAGCTGCCGTGCGGTGGCGGTGTCGGGGCGTGGTGGGGGGGCATGGGTGGGCTCCAGCTGAGAAATTGCGGGTTGGGGGCCCCCAAAAGCAGAGTTGCCGTGGGGTGGGGGTGTCGGGGCGCGGTTGGGGCGTGGGTGGGGGGTGGTGTCGGTGGGCTCGGGCGAGAAATTTCAGGTTGGGGGCTCCCAAGAACAGAGCTGCCGCGGGGTCGGGGCGTCGGCGCGTGGCGGGGGCGCGGGGCGCTGTCTTGCGGTGGGGGTGTCGGGACGTGGTGGGGGCGTGGGAGGGAGTGTCGGTGGGTTCCAGGTGAGAAATTGCGGGCTGGGGGGTCCCGAAAACAAAGCTGCCGCGCGGTGGGGGTGTCGGGGTGTGGCGGGGGCGTGGGGCGAGGGCATCGGTGGGTTCCGGGCGAGAAAATGCGGGCTGGTGGCTCCCAAGAACAGGTCTGCCGCGGGGTGGGGGTGTCGAGGCGCGGTGGGTGCGTGGGCGCGGGGTGCTGGTGGGTTCCGGGGAAGAAATTGTGGGTTGGAGGGTCCCAAGAACAGAGTTGCCGCGCGGCGGGGGTGTCGGGGCGGGTTCCGGGCAAAAAATTGCGGGCTCGGGGGTCCCAAGAACAGAGCTGCCGTGCGGCGGGGGCGGTGGGGGGCGCGTGTGTCGGTGGCGCGGGGAGGGCGTCGGGTGGGGTTCCGGGCGAGGACATTTGCGGGTGGAGCTCCGAAGAGAGAGCTGCCCGCGGGGTGGTGGGGCGTCGGGGCGTGGTGGGGGCGTTGGGTGGGGGGGGGGCATCGGTGGGTTCCGGAGGGGAATTGCGGGTTCGGTGGGCCCAAGAACAGAGCTGCCGCGCGGTGGGGGTGTCGGGGCGTGGCGGGGGCGCGGGGGTGAGTATCGGTAGGTTTCAGGTGAGATTTTTTTTTCAGGCTGGGGGCTCCCAATAACAGAGTTGCCGCAGAGTGGGGGCATCGGGGCGCGGCGGGGGCGCGGGGGGGAGGGGTTCGGTGAGTGGCGAGCGAGAAATTTCAGGTTGGGGGCTCCCAAGAACAGAGCTGCCGCGGGGTAAGGGTGTCGGGACGTGGTGGGGGCGTGGGGGCGGGGGGGGCATCGGTGGGTCCCGGGCAAGAAATTGCGGGCTGGGGGGTCCCAAGAAAGAATTGAGCTGCCGCGCGATGCGTCGGGACGCGGTGGGGGCGTGGGGAGGGGCATCGGTGGGTTTCAGGTGAGAAATTGCAGGCTGGGGGGTCCCAAGAACAGAGCTGCCGCGGAGTGGGGGCGTCGGGGCGTCGCGGGGGAGCGGGGGGCGGCATCGGTGGGTTCTGGGCGAGGCATTGCGGGCTGGGGGTTCCCAAGAACTGAGCTGCCGTGGGGTGGGAATGTCGGGTGGAGGGGGCATCGGTGGGTTCCGGGCAAGGAATTGCGATTGGGGGGCCCCCAGAACAGGGCTGCCGTGCCGCGTGGGGGCGTCGGGGCGCGGTGGGAGCGCGGGGGGGGAGCATCGGCGGGTTCCAGGTGAGACATTGCGGGTTGGGGGGCCCCAAGAACAGAGGTGCCGCGGGGTAGGGGCGCGGGGGCGCGGCGGGGGCATCGGTGGGTTCCGGGCGAGAAATTGCGGGCTGGGGGCTCCCAAGAACAGAGCTGCCGTGGGGTGAGGGTGTCGGGGCGTGGCGGGGGCGCGGGTGGGAGGCATCGGTGGGTTCCGGGCAAGAAGTTGCGGGTTCGGGGAAGCCCAAGAACAGAAGTGCCTGGGGTGGGGGTGTTGGGGCGCGGTGGGGGCGCGAGGGAGGGGGGCCCCAAGAACTACAAAGCTGCCGTGGGTTGGGGGTGCGGGGGCGTGGGCGGGGGGGCATCCGTGGGTTCCGGGCAAGAAATTGCGGGTTCGGGGGGCCCAAGAACAGAGCTGCCCCCCCCCCCCCATGCCGGGGGGTGTGTCGGGGCGTGGGCGTGGTGGGAGCATCGGTGGGTCTGGATGGGAAATTGCGGATTGGGGGGGCCCAAGAACAGAGCTGCCGTGCGGTGGGGGCGTCGGGGCGTGGTGGGGGCAGGGGGGGTGGGTATCGGTAGGGTCCAGGTGGGAAATTACGGGCTGGGGGGCCCCAAGAACAGAGCTGCCGTGGGGTGAGGGTGTCGGGGCGTGGTTGGGGCGGGGGGAAGTATCGGTGGGTTCCGGGCGAGAAATTGCAGGTTGGGGGCTCCACGAACAGAGTTACTGTGGGTGGGGGCGTCGGGGTGGGTGGGGGCGTGGGGGGGGGGTGTCGGGGGGGTCCGGGCAAGAATTGCGGCTCAGAAGAGTCCAAGACAGAGCCCCAGAGCTGCCGTGGGGCGGGGGTGTCGGGACGCGGTGGGGGCGTGGGGTGGGGGGTATCGGTGGTTCCAGGCGAGAAATAGCGGGTTGGGGGGTCCCAAGAGCAGAGCTGCCGTGGGGTGAGGGTGTCGGGACGCGGCGGGGGCGTGTGGGGGGTGGTATTGGTGGAGTTCTTGGCGAGGAAAATGGGGTTGAGGAGTCCCAAGGACAGAGCTGCCGCGCGGTTGGGGGTGTCGGGGCGTGGTGGGAGGCGCGTGGGGGGGGGGGGTATAGGTGGGTGTCCGGCAAGAAGTGCGGGCTGCGGGGGTGCCCAAGAACAGAACTGCCGTGCGGTGGGGGTCTTTCGGGGCGCGGCGTTAGGGCGCGGGGGCGAGGGGATCGGTGTTTCTAGCGTGCGACGTGCGGAATAGGGGGTCCCAAGAACCGCAACACAGAGGGCCGTGGGTGGGGGTGTCGGGGCGTGGCGGGGGCGCGGGGGAAGGGCGCCGCTGGGTTCCGGGCAACGGGATGGGGGCTCCCAAGAACAGGGCTGCCGTGGTGGGGGCGTGGGGGGCTGTCGCGCGGTTGGGGCGACGGGGCGCGGAGGGGGCGCGGGGGGGAGTATCGATGGGGTCCAAGTGAAAAATTGCGGGCTGGGGGGTCTCAAGAACAGAGCTGCCGTGGGGTGGGGGTGTCGAGACGTGGCGGGTGCGTGGGGGCGGGGTATCGGTGGGTTCCGGGAAAGAAATCGTGGGTTGGAGGTCACAAGAACAGAGCTGCCGTGCGGTGGGGGTGTCGGGACGTGGTGGGGGCGGGGGGGGGTATCGGTGGGTTCCGGAGAGAAATTATGCGGGCTGGGGGTCCCAAATCAGAGCTGCGTGGGGTGGGGCGTCGGGGGCGTGGAGGGGGGTATCGGTGGGCTCCGGGCCAGAATTTGCAAGTTGGGGGCTCCCAAGAACAGAGCTGCCGTGGGGTAAGGGTGTCGGGACGTGCTGGGGGCGGGGGGAAGGGGTATCGGTGGGTTCCGGGCGAGAAATTGCAGGTTGGGGGCTCCCACGAACAGAGCGGTGGGGTTGTCGGGGCGCGGTGGGGGCGTGGGGGAGGGGTATCGGTGGGTTCTGGGCGAGAAATTGCAGGTTTGGGGCTCCCCAGAACAGAGCTGCCGTGCGGTGGGGTTTTGTGGACATGGTGGGGGGGCGCGGGGGGGAATATCGGTGGGTTCCAGGTGGAAAATTTGCGGTTGGGGGTCCCCAGACCAGAGCTGCCGCGGGGTGGGGTGTCGGGGCGTGTTTGGGGGCGCGGGGGGGGGGGTATCCGTAGGTTCCGAGCGAGCAATTGCAGGTTGGGGACCCCCAAGAACAAAGCTTGCCGTGGGGTGGGGCGTCGGGGCGTGGAAGGGGGCGTCGGTGGGGTGCATCGGGTGGGTTCTGGGTGAGAAGTTGCGGTGAGAAGTTGCGGGCTGGGGGGCTCAAGAACAGAGCTGCGGGGAGTGTTGGGACGTGTGGAGTCCGGGGGGGGGCATATGGAGGGGGAGGGTGGGGGGGGGGGATCGGTGGGTCTTGGCTCGGGAAAGTGCGGGCTGGGGGGTTCCATGAACAGAGCTGCCGCGCGATGTGTCGGGGCATGGTGGAGGCGCGGGGGGGGGGGGGCATCGGTGGGTTTCAGGTGGGAAATTGCGGGTTTGGGGGCCCCAAGAACAGAGCTGCCGTCGGGTGGGGGTGTCGGGGAGTCGTAGGGGAGGAGGGGGGGGCATCGGTGGGTTCCGGGCGAGAAATTCCGGCCTGGGGGCTCCCAAGAACTGAGCTGCCGTGGGGTGGGAGTGTCGGGGCGTGCTGGGGGCGTGGGGGAAGGGTATCGGTGGGTTCCGGGCAAGGAAGTGCGATTGGGGGGTCACCAGAGCAGGGCTGCCGTGCGGTGGGGGTGTCGGGGCGTGGGGGGGGGGCGTGGGGAGAGTAATCTGGGGTCCCATGTGAGACATTGCAGGTGGGTGGTCCGAAAAACAGAGGTGCGTGGGGGTGGGGGCTCGGGGGCCGCGGTGGGGGCTCGGGGGGCGGTGTCGGTGGTTTTTCCGGGCGAGAAATGCGGGTGGTGGCTCCCAAGAACAAAGCTGCTTTGGGGTTGAGGGGTGGTCGGCGCGTGGTGGGGGCGTGTGGGGGGGGGGGGGGGGGAGTGGGTTCCGGGACTCGGGGGGCCCAAGAACAGAACTGCCATGGGGTGGGGGTGTCTGGACATGGTGGGGGCGTGGTGGGGGGTAGTATCGGTGGGTTCTGGGTGAGAAATTGCGGATTGAGGGGTCGCAAGAACAGGGCTGCCGTGGGGTGGGGGTGTCGGGGCGGGACGTGGTGGGGGCGTGGGGAACGGGTATCGGTGGGTTCCGGGTAAAAGATTGCGGGCTGAGGGGTCCCAAGAACAGAGCTGCCGTGGGGTGGGGGTGTCGGGACCTGGTGGGGGCGCGGGGGGGGCATCGGTAGGGTCCAGGTGAGAAATTGCGGGCTGGGTGGTCCCAAGAACAAAGTTGCCGTGGGGTGGGGTTGTCGGGACGTGGTGGGGGCGTGGGGGAGGGGCATCGGTGGGTTCCGGGCGAGAAATTGCAGGTTTGGGTGTTTGGTTTTGTTGTTGTCAGTGGAGGCCCCCAAGAATAGAGCTGCCGCGGGGTGGGGGATTGTCGGGGACCCCCAAGGCGGCAGTGGGGGGGAGGGTAATCGGAGGGTTTGTTCCGGGCGAGGAATTTCGGGTTGGAGGGTTCCCCAAGAACAGAGCTGCCGTGGGGTGGGGGTGTCGGGACGTGGTGGGGGCGCGGGGGGGGTATCGGTAGGGTCCAGGTGAGAAATTGCGGGCTGGGTGGTTCCAAGAACAGAGTTGCCGTGGGGCGGGGTTGTCGGGACGTGGTGGGGGCGCGGGGGAGGGGTATCGGTTGGTTCCGGGCGAGGAATTGAGGGCTGGAGGCTCCCAAGAAACAGAGCTGCCGTGAGGGTGCGGGGTGTCGGGGCGTTGGTAGGGGGCGTGGGGGGGGGGGGGGGTAAGGTATCGGTGGGTTATTCGGGCAAGAGATTGCAGGGTGGGGGGGTCCCAAGAACAGACAGCTGCCGTGGGGTGGGGGTGGTCGGGACGGGGTGGGGGCGTGGGGGGGGAGTATCGGTGGGGTCCAGGTGGGGCGTCGGGACGTGGTGGGGGCGCGGGGGGGAGGTGTCGGTGGGTTCGGGGGGGGAAATTGCGAGTTGGGGGCTCCCAAAAACAGAGCTGCAGTGGGCTGGGGGTGTCGGGACGTGGCGGGGGCGCGGGGGAAGGGTATCGGAGAGTTCCGGGCGCGAAATTGCGGGCTAGGGGGTCCCAAGAACAGGGTGGGAGTGTCGGGACGTGGTGGGGGCGTGGGGGGAAGTATCTGTTGGTTCGGGGCGAGAAATAGCAGGTTGGGGGGTCCGAGGAACAGAGCTGCCGTGCGGTGGGGGTGTCGGGACGTGGTGGGGGCGTGGGGGGGAGTATCGGTGGGGTCCAGGTGAGAAATTGCGGGCTGGGGGGTCCCAAGAACAGAGCTGCCGTGGGGTGGGGGCGTCGGGGCGTGGTGGGGGCGTGGGGGAGGGGTATCGGTGGGCTCCGGGCCAGAATTTGCAAGTTGGGGGCTCCCAAGAACAGAGCTGCCGTGGGGTAAGGGTGTCGGGACGTGCTGGGGGCGGGGGGAAGGGGTATCGGTGGGTTCCGGGCGAGAAATTGCAGGTTGGGGGCTCCCACGAACAGAGCGGTGGGGTTGTCGGGACGCGGTGGGGGCGTGGGGGAGGGGTATCGGTGGGTTCTGGGCGAGAAAGTGTAGGTTTGAAACTCGTTTCGAAACCGTAGGTTCTTGGGAGTGTTGGGGGAAACCTCAGCCACTTTCCCCTGCTCTTTTGAGTGGGGGGCTCAAGGGTGGCTCCCACAGCGGGCTCGCCCCGACGCGCGAGCCTGGGCCCCCCCGACGTGGGGCCCCGCCACGGGCGCACGGCGGCGCCCCATGCCGCTGCCGGTGGCCATGGCACTGGTGCCGGCCCTGGCTGGCCTCCTGGCGCACGGACGGCCGCGGGCGCTGCTGCCTCCGGCGCTGGTGCTGGCCCCGGCTGGGGCGCTGGAGTTCTGGGACGATTTCTGGGACTACGTACATGATCGGCGTCGGAAGGCGGCGAGGCATGCCAACGCCAGCAGGACGAACGGGAAGCAGAAGGCCAACCTCAGCATGGCGAACGAGAGCTCCTGCGGCGCGAACTCGAGCAACGTGACGAACGGGTCGGCCGGCCCGCCCGACGACGCGGGCCCGACGGACATCACTGGCGACGGGGACGGATACGACGAGCACGGCGACGACGAGTTCCCAGGCGTCTTCATTCTCGGGTACCGCTTCGTGGCCTCCTTCTTTGTCGTCGTGGAGGCCCCACTGGACGAAGGAGGATTCTTCAGCGACCCCGTCAGGCGAGCAGGCCGTTTTCTCTTCGGGCCAAGCTGGGACACCTTCATCTTGGGCGGGCGGATTGCTTTCGGTGTGGTGCTCGTCCTTTTGTGCTTGACAATGTGTGTGTGGCTGATGGAGCTCATCCAGCGGGCATGCGTCCCACTCCGTGCAGTGGCCGGTTTCCTCAGGGGCGTGTGCTGCCGCAAGGGCCAGCGTACCATACCCGTGACCACGGCCGACCAGATCAACCGTGACCCGCAGCAGGTTCAGCTCTACGGCCCGGGTCTGGAGAAGGAGCCCCCGACGAACTTTTACCGTGACCTGAAGACCGCCCTCCGCGCGGGCAACCCCCGCCACGTGGTCTTCTCCGTGGACGGCCAGGTGGCGCGCGTCCCGCCCAAGTGGAGCGACGCGCGGACGAATGCCCACGGCCTGATCATCGACTACGACACCGTCTACGGGGCCACCTCACGGCGACTGAGGAAGGACCTGGAGAGGGCGGCCACCAAGAGGCTCCACCTCTGCCGCAAGGTGGGCCCCTGCCAGGAGTGCGAGCCGTTGAAGGCCCACCTGCAGTCCTACGCGGTGGTCGCGGCCGACGCGGTGGTCGACCTCGACGACCTCGCCGAGCACACTCCGCTCGGCTGGTGCTGCGTCCGCACCTCGCGGGGCATCCGTGGGATCCCAGGCTGCGCCTGGGGCCTCGTCCGAGGCGCCGGCGGCCTCTGCTGCCTCCCCTGCTGCTGCTGCCCGCGCCGCAGGCGCAAGCCCACGACGCCCGCGGAGGAGGGCCCCAAGCCGCGCGACGAGTCGGACACCGAGGACGAGGGCATCCCCTGCATGGCTCATCGGGTGGGCTGGCGGCACGCCGAGACGGGCCGGGTCACGCTGCTGGCCCCGCGGGTGCAGTGTGGCGACAAGGCGCTCGAGGAGAACACCACGCTCCTCACTGACGACGCCCGCGTCAGCCCCCTGACCGCCGGGACACAGCAGGAGCAGGCCCCTCTCTGTGCCCACCACGCCGCTTTGTACCAGGGGATGCGGCGTGCGCAAGGCTGCGCCAAGGCCAAGTGCAACTCCCTGGGCTACGCACGGCGCGACGGCATCATGCTGTGCAGGCCGCACTACGACGAGAGCCAGCAGGAGAAGCGCCGGGAGGCGCAGGCCCTCCAGGAGGCACGCGACGCAGCCCTTTCCACCACCTTGGCCCACGCTGGGCCCCAGGGCACGCCGCCCCAGCCGCCGCCGCTTCAGCACGAGGGAGCAGCTCCGGGGCCCCCCTCGCCCCGTCCCCCGCAGCCCCCTCACGGTGAGGCCCCTCGGGGGGGCGGGGGCCAGTCGAACCCCCGGCTCTCCATCGCCGACCTCGTCTCCCGCCTCGACGGCGCCGACGGGGCCCCCACCAGCGCGGCGCCCTCCCCGCCGAGCGGGATGGAGTGCCTGCGGGAGTACCTCCGCGACCGCGAGCTCCACCCCGAAGAGGGAGACGCAGGCGCCCAGGAGAGGCTCCTCAACCGGTACGACTGGGACCAGACCCAGGACGTGCTGAAGGTGCTGCTGCGAGGTGCTGAGGAATACGAACGAGATGGGGGGCGCGGTCTGCGCACGCTCGAGGGCGAGTGGCGCAGCCAGCTCCGCCGACTGCGCGACGGCTACCAGGAGGAGGTGCGCCCCACCTTGGCTCCGCTCGCACCGCAGGCCCCCCCGGGCCTCACAGCGAGCATCGCCCACCCCTTCGGTGGTGGCGCCCCCACCTGGGGCGTAGGCCCCGCGCCTGCGACGAGCCCTGCCGCCCCGCGGCCCCTGCTGCCGCCTGGCGCCCCCGCCGCCTCTGCGCCGCTGCCCTCCCTGGTCGGGCGTGGCAGGACCGACCTCTACCACAACCTGGTGGGCCCCATCCTGGCCGACGGCACGCGGCACGCCCCCCCGGGCGAGCGACGCGCTGGGGTCGGAGGGGAGATCGGCCCCACCGGCGACAGCGAGATGGCAGCCGCCCTCAAGGACATCGGACTCGGCATCGAGAGCCTCGTCAAGCACAACAGTGAGTCCAAGAGCTCCAAGGGCACGCCGCAGGGCTTAGGACGAGAGGAGACGGCCCTCGTCTTCCTCGCGCGGGCCTGCAACCGCTTCAACGTCCAGGTCTGCCCCTCCTACACAGGCACGTCCCTCTACCAGGCCATCAAGGAGGCCTTCGTCACATCGAAGGGCGAGCTCTCGGGCCTCGGTTGGCCCACCTGCGTCACATCACGCCTCGCCCTCGGACTCGCGGGCCTGTACTTCGGCGCACGGGACCAGCACTCACTTCTACCACACTACTTGAGCGTGGCGGACTTCCCTAAGCACTCCCAGGAGGAGCACGACAACCACGTAGTCCCCCAGGACGACCGCCTCGAGGCCCGCCCCCGGGCTCCCGCTACGCTGGCCCAGTGGGTGAAGCAGGCGCAGAACCACGCCAGATGCTTCGCGCTGATCTACGGTTGGGAGCACTACCAGGAACGAGCCGACGCCATCGAGAAGCTGGAGAAGCTGGCCGAGGAGGACTCCGACGTCTTTCCCCGCGAGCGCATCTACGGCTGGTTCGAGGAGCTCAACTGGCGCTGGCGCGAGGATCTCAAGGACGTGTACCGCCAGCTCCTTCGGATATCAGGCAAGGAGTGGCTACGCAAGGAGCAGCTCGAGTTCATGGCCCTCACGCCAGACAGTGACGGCAATCCTCTCCTGCGCATGCCGACTTGTTTCAAGCTCGACCTGGAGGACGCCTGGTTCAGGAAGACCATCTTGCCACACCTGGAGCGGCAGCACAGCCGGACACTCTGGCGACTCACGCACAAGGCCCTGAAGGCACCAGGAGATGCTCGAGGCGCAGGTGCCGAACCAGGAGCCGAGGGGAGCCCCCGCAGGGCTTACCCCGCGGGCAAGCGCCTGCCACCCCGGGAGGCCGCCGAGTCGGTCACCCACGCACCCATCGATGAGGTAGCCAAGAAGCCCTACTGCTGGGGCGCAGCCACGCACTGTGGCTGCCAGCGGACAGCTGCCGAGTGCGGCCACTCGCACCGCCCTTTCAAGGGCACCCTCCAGCAGCAGCATTGGACAGTGCAGGCCCAGCTGATACGCCGCGGGGGCTTGAAGGGTGACAAGCCCATCCCCCCGACCGAGGTCGACGGCCGCATCAAGCAGCTTCGGGAAGCCGCTCACGAGGAGGCAGCCCAGAAGGTCCGTGAAGGGGTGGCCCGCCGAGGGCAGGCAGGCCGTGGCGCCGGCGACGCCTCAGGGGCCCCCCCGCGGAGCATCAGGTGGGCTCCCCCGGAGGAGCTCGTCAGCTTCGCCCCCGCAGCAGCCGAGAACGAGCTCACGGAGACCTTGCGCGGCCCGGACTACGACTGGGAGCGCGACGTCGACCCCCCCGGGCCTGACACCGCGAGAGCCGTCGAGGACACCACCGCCGAGTCCCCCGAGGACGTTGGAAGGAGGCGCGAGCAGATCGCGAAGATCGCCTCGCTCCCCGAGGTAGGTCCGCTCGAGCAGTGCAGCCATCACCTCCAGTCCTACGTCAAGGGGCGCCTCCTCCATAGCTCGCTCAGGGGCGAGGACATCACCGTCGAAGGCGTGCTGGACGAGCTCGTCCGCGGAGGCCCCGCCGCGCTCGCCGAGGAGGCGGGCGACTACCTGGATCAGCTTCGGCGCGCAGGGGGGGCCCACCTTGGACCCGGCTCGGGCTACGCCGAGGTTCTGCAGCCCACCTGGCCCGCGGACGGCGGCTGCGGGATCGGTAAGCTCCTCGTGGCCGGCCTCGCGCTGGAGACGGCAGACTACCGCGACTCCATCCACGTGTCGCCTGGCCTCCGCGAGGCCCTCCAGCTCGGCGACCAGGAGCTGGAGGAGCGCCAGTGCATGGTCATCCACATCGCAGCCGGCCTCCTCGACATCGAGGCCACGAGAGGGGACGCCCAGGCGCCCGACGCCGCCTGGCCCCCTCCCACCACGGACACGCTTGCTCTCGCAGCCGACCTGAGGGAGGAGCTCTGGGCAGGGGCCTCCGAGGCCACCCGCGCCCTGGGCGAGACCCCAGAGAAGCTTGACAGAGCCGAACGTGAGGTGCGGGGCTACATACACGACGTACTCCACCCTCATCATAATAAGGACTATCGTTCGCTTTGTGCGTTCCCGCTCGAGCCCCTCAGCAACGTGATCCTCAATTTCATTCGGGTCGACTCCCTGGGGCGCGTCAACTTCGAGAGCGTGTCAGGAGCAGCGGCCAGCCCAGAGTCACCGAACTGCTGGTTGCTCATCCACCGACGGCACATGCGGCTCATCAAGCTCGGGCCCGACATCGACCGAGCCACACTGTTGGCGGACTTTGCCCAGCATGCCAGCACCTGGGGGGGCAGCCCGCCGACCGACTACGCGGCCATGGGCTGGGAGGTTCTCCTCGACCAGGCGAAGGAGTGGGCGCCCGAAGCGTTCACCCCCCAGCCCAGGACCTGCCTTTGCTGCAAGTACATCAAGAACAGGCAAGGAGACGGAGCACGTGTCGCCGGGGACGTGGCCCCCCTGGAGCCCCTCAACGACGACTACACCTTCCTGACAATCGCCGGCTGGGGCTCCAGGCTTGGAGCCCCTACTGCAGAAAGGAGCACCCTATCCCCGAGTCCGTCACCGTCCCGGGGGACAAGCTCATCGCCCAGGAGATCATGGCGGGCACTGGGCGGTGGACTCAGGCCTGGAGGTCCCGCGGCCTGGAGGCCAGGGACCCCATCGAGTACTACGAGGATCCTCTGAGGAAGCAGGGGCCCCGCGAGGACCACAACGTGCTCCTCAAGCCGGTGCAGGACCGCCTCCTCGAGGACATCAGCAAGGGCGACGTGAACGTCATCGGTCTCGAGCCCGTGTGCACCAGCTTCTGCTCTTGGATGCGTTGCAATGGCGGGACGCGCACCATGGCCCAGCCAGAAGGCGTCGAACCCCTCCTCGCCTCCGAAGTCACAGGCAACACGATAGCGGAGTTCTCGGCGCGAGCTTTCAAGAAGGCTCTCGACATGAAGAAGTTCGCTTGGGCCGAGAACCCAGCCCCCGACGGGATCTACCCCTCTATCTGGGATACCAAGTGGTGGAGACCGCTCCTCGACCGCAAGGACGTGATGATTATCCCCTTTGATTTCTGCGAGCACGGCCACGGCCCCGAGGACGACCCCACGGCGCGCTACCGCAAGCGCACGTGGATCGTCGCCCGTGCCTCGCAGCAGTTTGCGCGCTGGATTGCCAAGCGATGCTGCGGGCAGCACCGCCACGTGTCGCTGGAAGGCCATGCTCCAGGTTCGGCAATCCGGCGCTGCCGCACCTCACAGGTCTACCCCTGGCCGTTCGTCGAGAACCTCACCCAGGGCATCCTGGCGGGCGTCTTACCAGGAGGCTTGCGCACCTCAGGGTGCGAGACTACCGATGTGCTGGACGGTGGGGAGGCCCCCCCCCTTGCTTCAATTTCGGCGAGCTCATTGGATTTGCAAGGAGGGATGGCACAGGAACCGAGGCCGCCCGACGACAGTGCGAGGCGCGTGGGCGACTCGGGGGAGGCCAGGGCGCTGATCAGGCGCTTCGCCCTCGCCTACGTCGCCTATGCCAAGGCCCAGCCGACAGGCACGGTGGACGCTTGGAGGGGAGCCGCCGCTCGAGGCGAGGCACTGGTGGAGCTGGCGGGCAGCGTGGAGGAGGGCGCCCGCGCCCTCTTCAAGGCTAGGAGCGACCTGGGCCTGGACAACCTGAAGGGCATCTTCGACTCGGACCTGGACCGCCACCTGGCCCCGGACGCGCTGCTGCACTTGCGGGACCAGGCCGGGCACGGCGTGGCCGCGAGGGACACGGGCATCAAGGTGAGAGAGGAGTGCAAGCCACATCAGAGCGCAGCTGACGTCTTGGACCAGTGCTACGAGGGCTCCTGGAAGGACGTCCACGCCGCCCGTGTCCTCGTCCTCCCCAGGCGCCGACGCGACCTCCTGCAGGGGGCCCGCTCCTCACCGCAAGGAGCGGTCCCCAAGCAGAACCCGGACAGGACGCTCTCCTTAGAGAAGAGGCTCATCCATGACCAGAGGCGCGCCAACGAGACCACGGACAAAACATGGCATCCTCCCGCGGCACAACCGTTCCATCGACAGCTCGCCAGGTTGATCGTCTGGTGGTCAGTGAAGCTACCGCGTATCCCCATACTCCTATCGAAGCTGGACGTCAAGGGGGCCTTCAAGCTGCTCTGGGTCGACCCCCAGGACGTCGGCACCTTCGCCACTGACCTCCCTTGGCACCCGGAGGCCTGCTCGGCGCCCAGGGGCCCTGAGGAGGCCCCCGCACCGCAGACGACCGACCCGGACACGCAGCTCGACCAGCAGGTGCAGCTCTGCCTGGATAGGGGCCTCGCCGAGGGCCTCACGCTCATCTCACTGGTTCTCACCTTCGGCTGGGCTGGAAGCCCAGGCGAGTGGACACCTTGGGGCGATAGCGTCGCAGCGGTCCACAGCCAGCATGCACCGGGGAACTCGGCTTGGGAGGGGCCCTTCAAGTTCCAGTCGTACATTCTCATGGACGACCTTGTCTTGGTCGAGCCCGCCCTTGGCATGCGCCCCTGGACGTCCAGATCGCTGGCCGAGAAGACCATCGAGAAGCTGCTGGGTCCAGCCGCCGTCAACCAAGACAAGAAGCACCAGGAAGGCTACTTCTCGACGGACAAGATCGTTTGGGGACTGGAGTACCGCACCGACGAGATGCAGGTGGCCATCCCCGAACCGCGGTTGTTGAAGGGCGCCTACCTACTTAGCGACACGTGCTACGACAGCGGCTACAAGGGCGCGAGGCTCCGCGACATGCAGGTGTTGAGAGGCACGGGCACCAGCTGGATGGCGGCCATGCCGGCGCTGGCGACCGAGCTGAGAGCAGTGGACGCCTTCCTTACGCCGCAGGCCGACGGGATTCTGAGGCCCAAGGTCGAGCCGGGGGCGGAGGAAGCAGCATGGCAGGACCTGTGGGACACCTGCGAGCTACTACGACTCCTCCTCGCCCGGCCCGAGGTATGGGGGGAGCGCTTCACCGTCTCCATGTACACTCTCCTGGACGTGCGCGAGCGCCTCGCGCTGCCCGGCGAAGCAGCCAAGGTCGTCTGGGTCACCACCGACGCCACCACGTCCGTTGCCTTCGGCGCCGACTGGACCGAGAAGATCTACCTGCGGCAGGACCTCAAGGACTACAAGGGCATGCTCGGCGAGGCCCTCGGCGACTCCGACGACAGCACTGTCGAGATCGCTCTCGGCGAGGCCATGGCCTACATCGTCCTAGCCGGGCGTCAGGGACCATCGTGGAGCGGGCGCATCGTGCTCCTGGCAACGGACAACATGGTATTCACGAACTGGCTCAAGAAACGACACCCTCGACCTCGACTCGTACGCCACCTTTTTTAGGATTCTGCACTACCTTGAGTGCAAGTACAACTTCATGACGATCGGCCATTTCTTCCGTACCTACCACAACGTCACGGCGGACTTCGGCTCCAGGGCCAGCCAGGAGGAGGTCAAGCACCGCATGGACGAGCTGGGCCTCTCGAGCGTCGACGCGGCGCACGAGTGGGCGGACCTCGTCGCCAACGGGGTTCGCCGCAGGGTGCTCCGCTTGCTTGGCGGCGACGCCGAAGACGGCCGGATCGCCCTCCAGCTCCGTGAGGCCCGCCTGAAGAGGAGGTTCAGAGAGGTCCCCCTCGCCACGGCCCCGGGGAGGGCCCTCGAGTGGGGCCTAGGAGCAGGTTTCTTCTCCAAGATCTGGACGGGCCTGGGGGGCACGGCGCACGCCGCGCCCATCGGCGAGGACCCAGACCCCAGCGCGGGCCCCGTCTGGGCGATCCTGGCGACGCTAGGCCCAGACCCCCGGGGCGCAGCGCCTGCAAGGCGGCCAGGCAGGCCGCCCGCCTGGGCGCCCAGCGGATCGCCCTCGACGCCCCGCGGCAGCTGCCTCTGGGCGAGGCCGCTCGCAGTCTGCAGGAGCAGGGCTTCGCGGTGAGCACCGAGGACCTCCTCGCGACCGAGGTCGGGGAGCTGGTGGCGCGCCGCCGTGCCCTCCTGTTGGGCACGAGGCACGTGGGCGACGAGCAGCAGGCATGGACGTTCGACACCCTCGACCTCAGGCGCTCGATTGCGCCCGCGGTCGGCCCCGTGCTGCAGCCCCCGAGCGCGCTGCCGCCCGACGCATGGCTGCTCCACGCCCGCTTCGAGGCCGACCCCCGCATGCGGAGGGCGGAGGACCGGCTCCTCCCAGTGGGCGTCGGCCACCTCTGGTCGGACAAGGGACGCGAGGTGGTCTACAGCACGGGCGGACCCCTCCCGACCATCCAGGCCGACTGGACGACGCACCCACCGCCCCTGATCCGGGACTTCAAGGGCCCGGGGCACGGGGTCAGGCGCGTCACGCTGGAGGAGAGCTGGCTTGCCGTGGGTGGCACCCTAGAGGACTTCCCCACGCCCCAGGACGACGCCACGGCCGCACATGTCACGAGGCTCATCGCGGGCGACACGGGGGCTCGACTCGCCGGCGCCATCGCCCTCTGGGCGGGAGGTGCCCTTGACTGGGAAGCGAGCGCAGGCGCTTGCTTCGACCTCGACGCGCAGGCCAAGGAGCGTGGCATGCGCGAATGGCTTGCACGCTGGAGGCAGGGTCTACTGCCCGGGCGCCCGCCACCGGCCCCCCTCCCACACGCTGCACCGGGGCTACCGCCAGCACACCCCGGCGAGCCCGGCCGCCACGCAGGCGGCAGCACCCCGGGAGAGGGGGCCGACCGCCGCCCCCCGACGCGCTGCGCCATCTTCCGCCCGGCTGACGGGGGTATCGACGCACGCGCGGCGGCTCTCGCAGCGGGCCTCGTCTGGCAGGACATGGGCGGCACCCAGGACGAGCACGACGCCGCTCGCGCTGCGGGGGCGTCAACACTGCCCGAGATCGCCAGGCCCCCTCGCAAGCAGAAGATGCCCCAGCTGGGACTTGTCTCCATTTCGGCCCCCGAGCACCTCGTCGACCTGGCGCCGGACGTCCCGGTGTTCGCAGAGGTCCAGGAGTGGGTCCACACGAAGTTGGCCAGCGGGCTGGCGCACAGCACCCGGATTGCACGGCAGAGGCCTGGTCCAACCCCCTTATCTTTTTTTCTCTCCTTCCTTTTTCTTTTTACTTTTCTTTTTATTTTTTTTTCATTTCTCTTCTTTTTCTTTTTTCTTTTCCTTGTCTCTTTTTGTATCATTTTTTTCTTCTGGTGGTGCACCCGCAGGGGTATCCCGCCGCTGTTCGAGGGCGACTCCAAGAGGCAGGTGACCGAGGACGAGGAGGAGCTCCTGCGCTTCATCGGCTACCTGGGCTGGTTGGGCAAGGGCAACGGCACCATCCTCAGCGCCCTCTTTGCACTCCAGGGCGGCCACGTGCGGGCAGGAGGCGGCGACCCTCTCGTCGGGAAGAAGCGCATCAAGGTCCTCATCGACTCACTCCAGAAGGGCGGCCCGAAGGAGGAACGCAAGCTCGGCGTCACGCCGCGCATGATGATCTGGCTGAAGAAGGAGCTTAGCCCCACCCCGCCGTGCCAGGGAGAGAGGGCCACGAGGGGACCTGACTTCGACTCGGTGGTGCTCTGGGGGGCCCTCTGCACGGGCTTCTTCTACCTCTGCCGCGCGAAGGAGATCGTCGACAGCGGAGGCGTCGATGAGCAGATGTGCCTGCGCGGGGTCGATGTGGCATTCCACGACAAAGAAGGAGGTGCTGCAGCTCCTGGAGTAGGCTCGGCAGCCAAGGCCCTGATCACTTTTCGCAAGACCAAGACGGACCAGCGGGCGTTCGGAGCATGCAGGACTCACCACAGGGCCGAGGCGGAGGTCTGCCCGGTGGAGGCCCTGGAGCTCCTCCGCCTCCACGCGCCCGAGCGCTTCCAGGAGGGCTCCGAGGGCCGCCGCCCGCTCTTCCGTTGGGCCTCGGGCCGCATGGTCAAGCGGGAGCAGCTCCAGGCCGCACTGCAGCGAGCCGCTGCGGCGGAGGGCCTGCCGCCGAAGCGCTTCAAGAGCCACTCCCTCCGCATCGGAGGCGCCTCAGCGCTGTGGCACGCGCTGGGCGACGCCGAGGCGGTCAAGAGATGGGGGCGCTGGAGCTCGAACGCCTTCCACGGCTACCTCTACGACTCGGAGGAGCAGTCGAGGGGCGTCGCGGCGGCCATGGCCCGCGACGTAGCCACGCTCCACGCGGCATGACGGACGATGGCGGGTGGGCCACCTGGCCAGAGCGTGGCACGGCAGAGGCCGCGCTCAGAGCGGCCAGAGCGAGGCCGCTCAGACGGAGGTGGAGCTGGTCGCACCTCGTGCTGCAAAATGTGGGGTGAGTGACGCTCTCTCCCCTCTTTTTCTCCTCTTCTCCCCTCCGGCCCTGGGGGGCTCTTTCCCCGGGCCTGGCCCTCGTGGGCCCTCTCCCCGGGGCCTCCCCGGTGCCTTTGGGGCGCCTTCCCTCCTTTGCTCTCCTCGGCTTAGGCTTCGCCGCCGCCGCCAGTAGTTAGAAGTTTTGGGCTCGTTAACTCGTTAACTTGCTGAGTTTTGGTAGCGACCAATAACGTGTAGGTTTGAAACTCGTTTCGAAACCGTAGGTTCTTGGGAGTGTCGGGGGAAACCTCAGCCACTTTCCCCTGCTCTTTGCCCACCCAGGGACCCTCAAGAGGCTCCTCCCGCCCTAGGGCTGCCGGTCCCCCGCCTGCGTGCACGAGGTGCGCGGCGGGTGGGCCACCTGGCCAGAGCGCGGCACGGCAGAGGCCGCGCTCAGAGCGGCCAGAGCGAGGCCGCTCAGACGGAGGTGGAGCTGGTCGCACCTCGTGCTGCAAAATGCGGGGTGAGTGACGCTCTCTCCCCTCTTTTTCTCCTCTTCTCCCCTCCGGCCCTGGGGGGCTCTTTCCCCGGGCCTGGCCCTCGTGGGCCCTCTCCCCGGGGCCTCCCCGGTGCCTTTGGGGCGCCTTCCCTCCTTTGCTCTCCTCGGCTTAGGCTTCGCCGCCGCCGCCAGTAGTTAGAAGTTTTGGGCTCGTTAACTCGTTAACTTGCTGAGTTTTGGTAGCGACCAATAACTGGATTTGGCGACCGCGCGCCAGTTCCATGGATCGCTAATCCATGTTTGCGCGCCCCCTACTGTGGGTTCGGAAGGGGCTCTCGTTCTCGGGGCGCGCCTCGGATCCGGACCGGGGGGCCTGTTCTTGGCCGAGGCGCACCGTGGACAGGAGAGCCCCTTTGGTTCCCTGTGGTGGCGTTCCTGCTGGCAGAGCCCGCTGTGGCTGTGGGAGGAGACGTGCTCAGGAGGGGGCGGATCGACTCCCGATCGCCCACTGATCGCCGATGGGGGCCCGACAGCCCCACCCCGCCCAGGAGCGCGCGCCTTGGCCATCGGTGGTCCATCGCCGATCCGTGGGCGATGTGTCGCCGACCGCCGACATCCGCCGACGTGACTTCTTCAAGGCGCGGCTCCAGAGGTCCCGACCCCTTCCCCAGGGCCAGTTTCTCGTCCCCGGTCCGCTTTGTTGGTCCCAGGGCCCGATGACGGGACCCGGAGACTGGGCTGATTTTTTCAGGAGATTTGGAATTCCAGGTCGACGTTCCCCCCTTCTGAGCCCGTTCCCCCTGGCGTTGCCCCCTCAGTCGGCGGCGCGCCCGGGGGAAGCGAGAAGGAGAAGGCCTTCTCGGAAGTCCCCCGGCCGAAAAGGATTTCGCGCCTCCCCCGGAGACGCAGAGCACCTCTCAGAAGGCTGGAGGAACTTCTGAGAAGTTCCGCCGCCTTCCGAGAAGGCCTTCTCCTTCTCGCTTCCCCCCCCCGCTCGCCGCGCCGAGAGGGGGTCTGGGAAGCTGGTCCTGGCCCCAAAGGCGGACCCCGTTCCCCCCCCTCATCCTCCTCCTTCCTCCTCCTCCTCCTTATCATCCCCTCCTCCTCCTCCTCCTCCTCTCACTTCTCCCTACTCCTCCTCCTCCTCCTCCCCCTCTTCCTCATCCTCCTCCTCTTCTCCCCTATCTTCCTCCTCCCTCCTACTCCTCCTCCCCTCCTCATCCCTCTCTCTCTCCTCCTCCTCCTCCCTCCTCCTCCTCCTCCTCTTCCACCCCTCCTCCTCCTACTCCCCCTTTGCCCCCCTCCTCCCTCCTCCTCCCTCATCCTCTCATCCTCCTCCTCCTCCTCCTCCTCCTCCTCCTCCTCCTGTGCCCGCCGCCGGCCCGCAGGCCCCTGGCCCGAGCGGGCGCTACGCCGCGGCCAGGGCGCAGTCGGCGGTGGCGCTGCAGTCCGGCTCGGGCGAGTACACCGGCTTCGTGCCCGACATGCAGAGGCCCCGCGTCGGAGAATGAGGGGTGCCCCCGGATCCACGCATTGTTCATTTGTAATTCTTCGAGCGTTCTTCGATTTTTTTGGGGGCCAAGATCCTTTCATTTCTAACTCTTCCATCCTGGGCCTCTTCCTGGCCACTAGGGGGCCAGGAACAATTCGAGACGAGCGCAATTAGAAATGAGCACGATTAGAAATGAACGACGTGTAGGCCTCCCAGATGGAGTCCGAGTAACCTTCAGGCGATCGCAAACAGACATGGATCAAGGGGGCGTGGATGAGCGACGGGTCCCGTTCCCATGGAAGCCGCGGGTGTCCGCCGCCGAGCGAGGCGGCACCAGCTGCATTTTGGGGAGGGCCCCTCCCCCGATCCATGGATTTGGCGACCGCGCGCCAAATCCATGGATCGCTAATCCATGTTTGCTCGCCCCCGACAGATGGAGTCCGAGTAAACTCTATAAGTCTATAAGTCTTTAGTTTTGGGTCCCCCCCCTGTTTCTCTCGGCTGGGAACAACCTCTGCCCCTCCTCCTCCTGCTCCTCCTGCTCCTCCTGCTCCTCCTCCTCCTCCTCCTCGTCGTCGTCGTCGTCGTCGTCGTCGTCGTCGTCGTCGTCGTCGCGGGTTTCCCAAAAACCTATCAAGGTTAGATGGGGCCGGAGGATCGCGCCGCATCGCCGATGCATCGGCGATACGGCTCGATGCCCAGCCAGACCTTCTCCACTCGGGCGTCGCCGCTGCATCGCCGACGTCGCCGATGCGGCGCGACTCTCTGATCCCATCTATGGTATTCGGACTCCATGTGGGAGGCCTCTAAATAGGGGGGGGGGTCCCGGACGAGAGGGGCTCTCCTGGGGTTTTTGCTCGCAACTCTTGGGCTCCCAGGCCTCTCCACCCTCGAGTCCAGGGGCCCGTCGACACAAACACTGCTCGGAATGGGGACCTGGCGCGGGGTTCTGCGACCGCTTGCTAACTCTACACCTGCGGATCCAATCGGCGCTGGGACACCCCCGATGGGGTTCGCCTGGCTGCAGACATCCACACTCTGAGCCCGCTGGTGTTTCAGAAACCTGACCTGCAGTGGTGGTAGGGTTCGCAAGTGGTTGCCTCTCGGGGAGGTCCCCTGATAGTGAGGGTTCGCATTCGCCCTGGACCCCCTCTCCTCCCTCCGTGGCAGCTGGATCAGCGACGGGCCCCGCTTCAGTGCAGAGTCGACCCGCCTCGCCGTCAAGCCAGGCGGCACTGGCCTCACGTCTCGGTGAGGGGGGGGGGAGGGCCTTCCCTGCTCTGTGCATCTGGCGCCTACGCGCCAGATCCACACATCCTTGATCCATGTGGCGTGTGTTCGAGCCGCGCCGCGCGCGGTCGTGCCCTTTCTTCCTCTTCCCTCCCCCTTCCCCGTCTGCCGAAATCGACTCCGCCCACGTCCCAGCGCAGCCCGCTCGCAACTCGGACACAAGACGCCGCCGATACAACATAAACCAGGCGATCCGCGCGGATCTCTTGGATCTGCGCCGGGCCCCCCCTCCCTGTCGCGCGGAGCGCGCCAGGGGCGGCGCCGGAGGCGCCGCCAGGGGGGGGGTGCCCAGCGCGGATCCAAGAAATCCGCGCGGAGGGCCGAAAGTGTATGTTTACCCCGTTCTTTCTCCTGCGACCGTGAGCTGAGGCGCGTCCTGATGAACCTCATCGTCGTGGCCGTGTGCGCCGTGCCGGCGCTGGTGGTCCTCGGGGGGTATGCGTTCTACTTCTTCCCTAAGCTGGGTGGCGGTGGCGGCGGCGCTTCGGCCGTGGGCGACATCAACGGCGCTCCCGGGAGGAGAAGATACCCGCACCGCTCCTCCTCCTCCTCCTCCTCCTCCTCCTCCTCCCCTCCTCTCCTCTCCTCCCTCCTCCTCCTCCTCCTCCTCTCCTCCTCCTCTCCTCCTCCTCCTCCTCCTCCTCCTCCTCCTCCTTCTCCTCCCTCCTCCTCCTCTCCCTCCTCCTCCTCCTCCTCCGCCCTCCTCCTCCTCCTCTCCTCCTCCCTCCCCTCCTCCTCCTCCTCCCCTCCTCTCCTTCTCCTCCCTCCTCCTCCTCCTCCTCCTCCTCCTCCTCCTCCTCCTCCTCCTCCCCTCACTCCCTCCTCCTCCTCCTCCTCCTCCTCCTCCTCCTCCTCCTCCTCCTCCTCCTCCTCCCAGGCGCGGCCGTCCCGCTGAAGAAGTGGGTCGCGGGCCACAAGGACCGCCGCGGCGGAGAGGGGTCCCGAGGTGCAGTCAACCTGCACAGTGAGGATGAGCGGCTGCCCAAGTGTACCCTGGCATCCCCGCCTCCTCGGCCCACCCTTGACCGCCCTCGCTGGCCGCACCCCGCCCCTAGAGTGTCGACATGGCCCTCCAGGGCCCTTGCATCCTCATCGTGCGTCCTTCCTATGCGGGCTTGACCGTAGGCTCGGGGGCCTTCCCCCCGGGACCAGCTCCTCGCCCTGGGCCCTGGGGCCCACGGAGGGACTCGGGGAGACCGGGGGAGACCGTTATCGGGTTGGGGCAGGATGGGGCTGAGAGAACTGAGGCTATCACTGCTCGTAGGCGTACCCACCTGATGCTATTGCTCCTGCCCTTCACCCTTCCAGCCCAGTCCTCCCAGCACGACACCTGTTCTCCGCAGGGACCCTGGAGCCCGCAACGCCAGGGAGGCGCTTCCAGCGCCCGCCTCCCCCAGACCTCGACGGCACGCGAGAGTGGCCCTCCGCCGCGGCGGCCTCTGGTGCGGGCCCACGGGGGGCCCCCAGATCGCCGCCGAGTGGGATGATTTCGGGGGCCACGTGCGAGCCCTACCCCTGCCCCCCACAAGTTCTGAGGGGGAGGGTGGGGCAGGCTTCGCATGGGGCCCCCTGTGGCAATGCGACAGCAGCGCCCTGCGCGCTCGCGTGTGGCCCCCCGTGGCCCCTCCTGCCTGGGGCCACTCCTGCGTGCAGTCGGCGGAGCCCGCGCTCCCTCGAGCCCAAGAGGATAACGACCGTGAGCTGGTGCAGGGCCTCAAGGGCGACGCCTACTACCTCATCTCCACCCCGGACGGCATCAAGGACTTCGCGATCAACGCGACCTGCACCCACCTGGGGTGCGTCGTGCCGTGGGTGCGCTCGGCCAACAAGTTCTGCTGCCCCTGCCACGGCTCGCAGTACGACGAGAACGGCAAGGTCGTCCGCGGTCCTGCGCCCCTGTCGCTGGCGCTCGCGCACACGTCGGTCCTGGACAGCGGCGACATCGCCGTGTCCCCGTGGCCCGAGCAGGACTTCCGCACCGGCCTCGACCCCTGGTGGAGCTGAGCGCGGGGCCGCGGGCGCCTCTCTGGCAGCCCTCCCTCCCCCTCCTTCCCCGAGGAGGGCGGATGATCACCACCACCCGGATGGTTAGCGGTGGTGTGGTGTGGTGTGGTGTGGTGTGGTGTGGTGTGGTGTGGTGTGGTGTGGTGTGGTGTGGTGTGGTGTGGTGTGGTGTGGTGTGGTGGGTGGTGCGGTGGTGTGGTGGGCGGTGGTGGGCGGTGGTGTGGGGGGGGTGCCATGGGTAGTGGTGGGTGGTGTGTACCTCACAGTACACGGTAGGCTCACGTCGTGTCGACTGGCGGCGACCCCGCCGCTGGCGTTCGACGCTGGACGCCGCCGGCGACCCAGAATCGGTCGACGCGGAGCGATCTGACGTTTCGGAAACGGCCGACCGTTCGAGGTTGAACGATCGCCGCGGTGTCAGGAACCAGCGCCAGGGTCGACACGACGTGAACCCGCCGTACTCTCCTGGGCGCCCTCGCGAGGCCTCCTGGTCCTTTGCATCCTACACGCCAGTCAACCCTCTGCCCCCTCCAGCTGGTGGTGATGATCAGAGGAGGAGGAGGAGGAGGAGGAGGAGGAGGAGGAGGAGGAGGAGGAGGAGGAGGAGGAGGAGGAGGAGGAGGAGGCCTCCGACCACGTTGCTCTACCACGCCGCGGGCCCCTAGAGCTCTCGACCCCATCCCAAGGACTGGCTCATCGCCGCTGGTTGCGTCTGGCTCGTCCCTCGGGCTCGAGCAAAAGCCCACGGCGGGAGGGAAAGGTCCCCAGAGGCCCCGGGAGGCTCCCAGAGATCTCGGGAGGTCCGCCATGAGGGCTTCCAGAGGCCTCCCGAGGCCCACAGGGGGGCGGGGCACGTCTGAGACCTCGACCTGCTCGATCCTCCCCCCCCAGCGGCGCGCAACAGGGGAGGCGGCGCTGCGGCGAGGCTGGCCTTCCGAGAGGGTGTGAGGCCTCTCAGAGGGGCCCGGGGGGGCTCTTGAGAATCGGCAGCGAAAGAAGGACGTATACATGAATCCGCGTTGGTTTCGAAAGGGTACGTTCGAGCGGGCGAAGCACGCTGTAAAGGAAACTTTTCGCGCGAACGCTCGTTTGGCAAGGTTGCTCTCGCGGACTGGGGGGCCGTCCTCATGTACGCGGTTGGGCGCGTGCGTCCTTTGGGGGCTCCCTATGAGAAGAAGGCCCGGCAGACTGTGGGAGGGCTGCCGAGAGGCACCCTGGATGTTCGATCATCCTAGGTTGGGCCCCGGGGTAAAATCCGACCCTGAAGGCCCCAAACTTGGGGTTCTTTGGCGGTGTGTGTGTGTGTGTGTGTGTGTATATGTGGCTTGCCCGTCGTGGTCGGCGCACTTCAGTCTAAACGGAATCCCCGCTGTGTTTTGGGAGGTTCTTGGTCCGTCTTGGCCTCCCCCGCTATTTCCTTTCCCTCGCTCCGAGGATTGAGGAACGAGGAACGAGGATTCGTCCCGCATCTTATTTGGCTCGTGTGGAGCAAGCAACAAAGGAGGAAGCCCGCGAGCGTTGTCTCTCTTGCGTCCTTGGTCGTCGTCAGATGATAGCACGCGCAAGAGTTTTAGCCTGAGGGTCGGTGCGATAGGGCAGTCTGTCGCTACCATCGCCACGGTTGGATTCAATCTCTAACGAACAGGAACTTTTGTCGACCACCTTTAACCTAGACCAGGCGAGCCAGGGCCATCAACTCAAGGGCGTTAGCATTGGCCCAGAGGGCGAAGCCACCCCGATCTCAGGGGGGCAGAGGAGGAGGAGGAGGAGGAGGAGGACAAGGAGGAGGAGGAGGAGGAGGTGGAGGAGGAGGAGGCGGAGGAGGAGGCGGAGGAGGAGGAGGAAGAGGAGGAGGAGGAATGGGACGAAGAGGAGGAGGATCCCAGGTCGATCGAACACCATACTTGGGAAACAGAGAAGCCTGCCCCGCCTCCATGTTGTCGGACACTGCGCGGGACAAACGTAAGCGCGGAGGCGGCAGGGGCATTGAGAGCAGGGGGTGCCGAGGGGGCATGAAGGGGCCACGGTGGTGGTGGTGGTGGTGCATAGGTGTCTTGTGGGCCTCCTCCTCCCCCGGCCGTGCCTCCTCCTCTCCGGCGGCGGCAGCAGGCCGAGGTGCGGCCGACTGCTGCTGTGCACTCTCGCATTTTTCTGACTCCCGAGCCCTGCTTCGGGTCCATGGGGCCCGCTGGCGGCGCTGGGTCGCTGTCGCAAGAACGGTGCTCTTCAGAGGAGGGAAAACAGGCGTGCCGCTGCCGATGCCCTTCCCTCTGGAGTTGCGTGCCTGGCCTCGTGGAGTGCTCTCGTCGCCCCCCCCCCCTAGAACTCCTAGCCAGAACGCACCCCGGGGGAGGTCCAGAGAGCAGCGGGATCGGTATCTTTCCGTTCCCCCGGATCTCTTCCGTCGACGAGCACGACGCATCTTGGGCGCACGGTCGGTGTATATGCCCCCTCCTTGCCGAGCCAGGACGGCGAATCCCCCGTTCTGAGCTTCGGGGGGCCTTGGCCAGGATCGGCGTATGTGCACCCCTTCGACTTCCCCTGGGGGCCGTTCTGGCTGTTTTGTAGGCTCTTTGGGGGACTCTTGGGTTGTCTTGGGGGCTTGGAGGCGCCTTCCTGGCCTGTTGGGCTGTCTTGACAGCATCTTCGGGGCAAGCGTCGGGCCACGCTGGACGCAGTGGAGCTTCTCGGAGCTTGGCATAACGGCGCGGCATTTTGCTGAAAGTTCTTGTGCATCGGAACCGTCGATTTCAACCCTGAAAGTGGGCGACGCCCATTAGACGCGAGGGGGGCGGTTCACTCAGAAGGCTTCTTTTCGAAAGCACGGGCCTTTTAAGAAGGCACCGGAGGGCTTACATGAAGGCTTCTCAGAAGCTTATCGGCTTCTAAGAAGCCCCCCGGCCTTCCCTCTTAGAGGCCCCGCCACCTTCGTAGACATGCTGCCCCGCTCGCGCCACACACATTGGGGGCGCCGCCCCACAGTAACAAAAGAACTTGACGCCCAGCGGGGAGCCGAAGTTGGACCCCTGGCCACCCTCGGGGGCAACGGTAGGGGGGGGGTAGACATAGGGGGGATGCATGGACCCCCAATCACCTATTGATCGCCGATAGGGGCCCGATAGCCCCGAGCTGCCCAGGAAGGTGCGGATTCCCTATCGGAGGCATATCGCCGATCCATCGGCGATGCATCGCCGATTCCGGGTCGATGCATCCCCCCTGTGCCAGCCCCCCCCGATCGTCGCCCCTCACATCCAGAGGGCTGGTGGGAGCAGTCATCTTGGCGGCACTGTCCAGGTGTTCTGGTCTCCGACGGCTCAGGCCAAAGAGGGGCGGGGCATGCCCACTCACGACTGATACGCCCCCCGTTGTGGAAGACGTCGGCGTGGAAGTTTCTCTCGGCGGTGGTCAGCAGGCTGTAGCGAAGGTGGCGACTGGACGACCGGTCAATTGCGCTCGCCAATGAGATGCACCGAACGGCGAATGGCACAATTCATGGTACGATGACATCAGGGAAGAAATCGATATTCGGAAGACCTTCGTCTGTTGCTGGCTGAGCAGGGACCTTACTGATCCTCTGGGGCACCTGTTCGAATTCCAGAGGACATATTCTGAAAGTCAATGTACATAGGAAGTGTTGTTTTGCGAGTTGTTCAACAGCTTTTTGTTGCGGCTCCAGATTCTCCAGTCCTGGGCTAGCATATCAAAGATATGTGCGTCCACGCAAGCCGATGGGCCGTTGTTCCAAAGCATAACGTTTGCTGTCGGATGTTGGAAATGCTTGTTCGATCTAGAAGGTTCGACCGCGGCTGACATCAATGTCGAGGCGTGGTCATGACCTCTGTCGGTACTTCGAGTGCGAGACGGCTTTTTGGGCAACTTCATATTTCACCGGCAACGCCAAATTTGCGTCTCCACCTTTACATTCGTTGCAGGTTAGGCGAGAGCTGTTGTTTCGTGGTGCCGATTTCGAGTAGGAATCCCACGGATGCCCATACGCCAGCCGACGCTAGCATATTCTCCGTCCCTTCCCACCCCTCATTCCCTCCTTCCCCGCCTCGCGTCTTCACTCTTTCTTCCCCTTCTGTCCCTTGCCCGTCCTCCATCGTCCTCCATGCTCCATCCTCCATCGCCATCCTTCATCCTCCATCTTCCTCCGTCCTACCGTAAATACCAAGCGTCAATTCACACCGTAAATATTCACCGTAATCATTCACCGTAGAAGAGGATGACACTGTACCTTTACAGCCTCCCCGTCGCCGTACACTTACAGCTCGCCGTCCAATATTTACCGTGAGTATATGTTGTCAATAAACAGCCTAGATACACAGTTGAACTACGGACCGTCTATACACACCATACATACAAACCGTAAGTGCATACCTGAAGTACACACGGTAGATCTTCACCGTCAATTTGCATGGTTACACACGCACACACCGTACATACACACCGTAACCGTACATATGCACAGTAACAGAGGACATCATTGTACTACACCGTACACTTGCAGCTCACCGTCGTTTTTTTGGTCGGCCATTAGGCCCTGTGAAAACCTCCAAAGGCCGAAAGTCATCCAACAAGTCCTTCCGCCGCGTTTTTGTCACAACGACGGGAGGCGAGGGTTATCGCAGACCGCTCTTCTCCTCCTCTTTTAAGGATGCAGTTCAGCTTCTGGGAGGTCCAATCCAGCATCGGCGCTGGTATTTCTGTGGTCGAAAACTAGCCTACTCTGGCATTGTCCGTTGAATCTGGTTTCTTTTCGTTTTCTCCGTTTTAATCTCGAGCCTTGTCGAGCTTAAGAGCCCCTGGTCGTTCTTTCGAAGGACTCCCAGGAGTTGCCTCCTAACCTCGCCTGTCCTCCCCTCTTCCCTTTCCCCTCACCCCTTCTCCTCGCCCCTTGAGCGTATTTCTTTATTGCTTGGGGCATAATGGGCATTATAGCCCCCTCCCCCTCTCCCCCCCCGTATAACGTAACGCCCCTCCCCCTCCAGCGCGCTCCGGGCACTGCCGACGTGCGCATCGGGCACACTGCGGGGGGAGGCGTTTCATTGTATGATCCAGGGTCGAGGGCCCACGGCCCCCCCCCCCCCCAGATGGTATGGTCCCAGGATCCTCGGCCCCCCCCCCCCCCAGATGGTATGGTCTTCAGAGACGCGACGACGACGGACGACGAGACGACGACGACGAGAGACGACGACGACGACGACGGACGCACGGACGACGACGACGACGACGACGACCGACGACGACGACGACGACTGACGACGACGACGACGAACGACGACGACGACGACGGACGACGACGACGACGACGACGACGAAGACGACGACTGAACGAACGCGACGACGACGACGACGACGACGACGACGACCGACGACGACGACCGCCGGACGACGACGAACGACGACGACGACCGACGACGACGACGGACGACGACGGAGCAGGGGCGCGGACGAACCGAGACGACGACGGACGACGACGACGACGACGACGACGACGACGACGCCGACGACGACGGACGACCCGACGACGACGACGAGGGGGGGGTCGACGACGACGACGACGACGACGACGACGACGACGACGACGACGACGACGACGACGACGACGACGACGACCGACGACGACGACCGCGACGAGGAGGGGGCGGACCGGACGACGACAGGGATAGCGACCGAGACCACGACGACGACACAACGACGGTCCTGCGGCCGACGACGAGGCGGCGGCGGGCGAGCGACGACTACGAGACGACGATGACGACGATGACGACGGCGACGACGACGATGGCGACGACGACGACGATGACGACGACGATGACGACGACGACGAGGACGACGAGGACGACGAGGACGACGACGACGACGACGACGACGACGACGACGACGACGACGACCTCTGAACCACCACAGCACCACACCACATCCACAGGGGGGGGAGGGGGGCACAGCAGCGCAGCACCACGCCACGCCCACCTCTGAACCACCACAGCACCACACCGCATCCACAGGGGGGGGGAACCGCAGCGCAGCACCACGCCACGCCCACAGGGGGGGCGGGGGGGACCATCGCGCGGGGGGGGGGGCCCAAATGGCATCAGCATTGGGGGGGGTGGGCTCAAGCCCTGGACCATATATCCCCCCATGACCCAGTTAGATTGTGTGTATGAGTTCGGGGTAAGAGGCTTCAGAACCATCAGAGATGTTTGAGATATGTTTGAATGTTTATTCGACTATCCGTAAACGGTATGGCTCAAGCCATCAATGGTTCGACAGCTCACGCTGGAAAACTAACTTTGGTAGCGCTGATGTGGTGGCAGGTCCTTTGAGACTCGCCGTCTCTCTGCCCTCAGCTTCGCCGACTGGTTCCGGCACAGCGTCGATTGCGACGAGAGCCTTTCCATGTTCCAGCAGCAGCACACGTACGCGAGCAAGCTCATCGTACACATCCTTGCAGCTGCAGTTTCACTCACCCTCATCACAGACACCCGGCACGGCAAGTGGACGCACTTAGCCATGGACTACGGAGACACTTCAGGCAGCGGTGGCGGTATTCCTCTCGACACGTTCAACAAGAACACGCCACCAGGATGGCGGCCAGGCAACGGCAAGTACCCGCTGCGTCGCTACATCCAGCTGCTTAGGTTATGGTGGAGGCAGACAGATCTGCCAGAGCACGCAGCTGGCCCAGCAATGGCAGGACGTCTCAGAGGTTCGGCGTTCCAGATAGCTATGAAGATGAAGCGCGACAGACTGGACCTCACTGTAGGAAAGCGACGTGAGATGGAAGGAGACGAACTGCTAGCTCAGCCTTCACATCCAGAATGGCAAGACTCTGAAGGCGTTCAACACCCTGCGGAGCCAGCTGGAGCCTCGATCCTGATGGACATTCTTGTTCAAGAGTTCGAGGTTCAAGATCAAGATATGTCAATCGTGGCTTTGTCAAGTTTCTTCTCACTCACCAGAGGCCATCTTCCGATGAATGACTTCCTCACGATGTTTCGCCTGTGCTTCGAGGAGGCCTCAGACAAAGGAGGCCTGCAGCTCAACAACGTCGGCAAGAGTTTCCTCCTGCTCCAGATGTCAGGCTTATCAGAAAAGATGCGGACCGACCTACGTATGCAGATTCAAGGAGACCTCAATCGTTTCCCCGAGCTCAGTGCCTTGATGCAGAGAATGGCTAATCACGAGTATCAAGGCACGACATCTTCGATTCCAGCCATGGTCTCACAGTACTGGACAGAC